CAGAGTGGAGTTCGAGACAAATATGGAAGGATATGGGGTTGTGTATGTGCAGGTGGAAAAGTTAGTTGACAGTGAGCAGGATGTCACTCGTAGGGTTCAGCCATCGCTAGAGGAGTTTCATGAGGACTTCCCAGAAGAGCTTCCAGATGGATTGCCGCCGGAGCCGCCATTTCGTTGTGTTAATTCTGATGATGATGAGGGTTCTTCCCCGTCAAATTCGAGGACGAATTTTTCTCAACTCGTAGAGAATGATGAAGGTAAAATAATAATTCCATTTAATTTCGGGTTTGTTCGTTTTTAGCGAATTACTAGTCTAATTTGATTGGAAACGGGCCAATGATCACAACTCAGGGCCTTTGACCCTGATGCATGTCAAATTTTGGGCAAATTCCGTCGTTTAGGCCATCAATTAAGCGTTTTTGCCGTTTATGGTAATTTTTGTTTTGGCAATATCTTAGTCAAATAAACTCGGATTTGATTTCCGTTTGTTGGGGGATGATCCTGATAATTAGGAGAATCAAGATCCGTGATTATCTCAATTTTTTCCATTTTTGGAAAAAATAATATTTTTTATTATTATGTAATTTCTTTTCGAATTTTATTAGGGTTTCGCTATTTAAACGTTGTAAACCTTTTGAAGCAGCTCAGTTTTGAAGAAAATAAAGTTTTTCTTGAATTTCTCTTGATTGAAATTCTTTTTATGAAATTTTTGTCTTTCCTATAAGCTTCCCCTGCATCACAAGGTAGGCTATAAATGAGTATTCACCCTGTACATCTCGTTTTCCTGAAGACCATCTCACCTCCTTTACTAAGGAAACCTTACTAACAAGCAATTTCCAATGTGGTCGAGCTCGTATGCCCAAAATTTATCCAGTGTAAATTACATTTGAAATCAAATAATATGGATAACAAGAATACCTTAAATTGTGAGTCATGATTACGGAAACTCAAAGGAAGTGCTGATAGGTGTCCACAATCTTAGTATCGTTAGGACTCAAGAGACATGTATGAGTAGGATACTGGGACATACTGGTGGTATGAGGTCTCATGATACAAGGATGATACAAGACGTGTAATTTAACTTTCGACCGAGGATGACAATGTTACGAATTGTGGAGTTTCAAAAGTTCATAGTTCAACGTTGGATAGAATATTAGTCTATTCACTCTGTCAATCAGGAATACCTGATGATTATTTTTGTTGAAAAAGAGATTTATGCCCCAAATTAAGGGGTAGAATCCACATTGCATCCATGAAATTCAGAGGCACAACATTCCATTCATAGAAATTGAGTAGGTTGCTCCTTTATAAAATTGAGGTACTATTGATTCTTTAAATATGTATGCACAAGAACGACAATGTCATGTGACTAGGCACAATCAGATGAAAACGTATGTTACCGAACATGTGCAAATACCACAAGATAAACCAGGCTACAACCCACATGTGAAAAAATAGAAACATAAGAAAACAGACACAGCTCAAATTTCTAATATATGAATTTGATATACCTATGGTCTATTTTGTTGTAATTTTGGGTCAGGCTGGGGCTCAATTGAATGGGCCATCTAATACCGGGGCCACCTTTGTCCAACTTATCCACAACACAATCACAGTCTACAGCTGAATTCATGGCTCAACTTTAAATACAGAAAACAGAGTCAGATCAGTGGAGACAGATGAGTAAATTAGAGCACAACCACCTACATTAATTACATACACAGACAACACGTATGATTTTATTGGTTAAAATGTACACAATAATTCTAGTCATGCTTCATGACCACTCAAACTCGCTTTATAGATTACATGATAGCTAAGTTACAAAATGTTCATTTGTAAGTAAAACCGTAAGTGGGGAACAAAAATTTGGAGAAAAAGATGCTGTTATTTTCTTTTTTCACTGCAATCAAGGACTGAGCGGTGAACAAAATGAAGATGATCCCTCATGGGTAAGTCATGAAAGGGTAGAGACTGTGTGGAAAAAGGCAATTGATGGACTTTTAATGCACGCCAAGAACACTAATAACTGTGAATTTCACACCAATAATAATCAATTATTTCTACTTATTTTAGAATTTTATTCAGTGCACTACGGTCTCTTCATTCACAAAACATAATGTAATCCTGCTTCTCTTTGTCCCCACACACTTAAAAGCAGCTCATTCATGGCTGCCCCAACCCTCTTTCTCTTTACCCACACAATAACCCCTTTTTATTACTCTCTTCAGTTTTTTATCTTCGTTTTTCTTATTTTTTTCTTCAGCACAAAGTATAATTCTCGCTCACATAAATTCTCCGCCTTTGTGCTTTTTCCTTGTACTGGTTGCCATTTTCTTTACTGGGTGTGTAAGCAATTGAGCGGGCAGCAATGGGAGGAGGGGTGGCTCAACGTTTCAATATTTATCTTCTCATCGTGTTTCTGCTTCTTCTTTGTGAGTATTTCTAGCTTTATGTTGAGGTTTTTCGAGGATTTTGCTTCTTTTGTGAATGATCTGTTTGTTATAGTACTTGAAAAATGCTTGTTTTTTCAAGAAACCTTCTGTTTTAATTGTTTTTTGTGCAATGTCGAATTTGGAAAATTAATGTTCTAAAATATTGTGATTAAAATTAAATTCAACAGAATTGGTTGCGATTTGATATTCATTTGGCTGCACTGGATGTTGCAATTTTTGTGTTTTTCTGAGATTATATGTGAAGATTTTTTTCTGAAAGGTAAAAATTTAGGGTTTTGAGTCGGGAACATGGAGAATTTATCTATTTTTATCGACTGGGTGGCCAAGGCATATGGTGCACAAGAATTTTTGACAATCATATGTAGCTGTGCAAATCCGAAATTTATTAAGAACAATGTTTTCCTAAAATTAAAGTCACTTTTTTTTTAATTGAACTTACTTTTATTTTAGACTTAGCCCAACATACTCTAAGACTAATTATGATTATCTACAGATTAATTGGTGGTACTGAAAAAACATGAAATTTTGCTGAGACTGAACAAAAACGAAATTTTACTTATTGAGACTTCTTTACTTCCAATTGATTGTCTGGGTTTGTAAAGCTTTTCAAGCAACTTTCTTGCATCTCCTCCTCGTACTGCCGTCAACGTTGTTTTACAACTTTAGAAAGATCAACAACAAACACGCAAACAACAAATGATGGGAACATAACCCTTGAAAGTGTGATAGCTAGCTGCACAAAGTGAAAACGATAATTTTCTTTTTTCGAGAGCGTGAATTGGCATCTTTGATAGTTCTGTCATTCAACATTGGACAATAAGCACGAGAAATTGGAAAACTGGGGGTAAGTTTCGGTTCTCAATATTGCTGCATGCATGAAAGCACTGTGTGCAAATGAGATGTATATGATTTACATTCCTGCAAGAGTCCATTCGTAGAATGTAAGAAACCCTCTCTTGGTGTATATGGATATGGTCTATTCTGCAATTGACTCACCTGATTACACATTCTTTTACAGGCTTGCATGAATCCTGTTGCACACCATCAAATTATCTCGAAGGTTCTGTCATAATGGATATAAGAGCGGATGCACTTTTGCCTGAGAATTCCCCGACTGCAGCTCCTCTGCCCCTACTTCCTCTTCTTGCACCTTCTCCATTGACACCATTTACGAATAGCACTGTCCCAAAATTATCTGGTTTGTCTTTCATGCTAACCATTGATGGCTCTAGACCGTTTAATTTGTAGAAGTGAATACATATTAATTTCATCTTATTTGCCTTCCTCGCAGGGCTCTGTATGCTGAACTTTACAGCTGTTGGAAAGATGATGAGTGTGACATCAACTGATTGTATGGCTGGATTTGCACCATATTTAGCTAACGTAGTGTGCTGTCCACAACTGGAAGCCATTTTAGTCATTCTCATTGGTCAATCTAGTAAAGATACGAATACACTTGCTCTGAATGGGAAACTTGCGACTCATTGCCTGTCAGATCTTGAGAAAATCCTGGTGAGTCAGGGGGCCAATGACAGTCTACCGAGTATGTGCTCTATTCATCCATCAAATCTTACTGAAGGTTCTTGCCTGGTTAATGATGTTAGTGAGTTTGAGAGCACAGTAGATACATCTAACCTTCTAGCTGCCTGTGGGAAAATAGATGCTGTGAATGAATGTTGTGAGCAGGTTTGTCAGAATGCTATATCAGAAGCTGCTAAAAAGCTAGCTCAAAAAGTTTATGATCTTCTGAGCCTGGGTGGTACGCAAGCGTTGTCTGACCACTCAACTAGGGTCGGTGATTGTAGAAGTATCGTTCTCCGTTGGCTGGCAAGTAAACTTGATCCTTCTCATGCAAAAGAAATTCTTCGAGGATTAACTAATTGCAAAATTAATAAAGGTGAGATGTAACTGCGAAAGGTCGAAGCTGTTGGAACCTGTTTAATTAAACAACTTTCTTCCCATTTCTCCACCATTAGTTTGTTGCCTTCTGTGGGGTGCACTGGCTCGCATTTTTGGTATGGATATCTCATGTTTAGAAGATTCTTGGACTCGTAAATATGGAGGACATGCGACAAAAGTGTACACTTGTATATCTGTGAAACCTAAGTTTGTTGATTACATGTTTTTGATGTTCCTGTAGTTCTAATTCTTACTTCTTTACTAATAGGAGTAGCCTAAATCTTTCATGTTGGTTTGATAGCTTACATTTGGTCAAGGTGAAAAAAATGACTCAGCATTGATTATGATCTCTAGCTTGTACAATCGTGGTCATAATTTTTTTTTTTCTAAATGGAAAATACAATATGATTATGTGACTTGGAAAAAAAAAAGTGCTTTTTGGGCTTTGTCTTTCCTTTTGTTAGAAATTATATTGTCATTTTTAAGTTGGGAAATTGCATTGTTTGGACTTGTTAGTGTCTCTAAGACAAGTCTCCCTTATGAACAATGTAAAATGGGCCATTGCACAATTAAATTGTTAATAACCCACTACTTCTTAAGCAGTCCAACTCCTTTGGCTCCAGATACTTCATAATGTCTGTCCCTACTGCATTCACGTAACCATTGAATTTATTGAAGTTCTTGGATAAACATATTTTGTTTTATTCTGTAATTTATTTTACCATGCAAAATTTTAACTATTTTCATCTTTTGAGTGTCTGTTTTGTTACTAGATTATAACTCCTGTACTCCTCTTTTCTTACTGTTTCAGTTTGCCCTCTGGATTTCCCGAACTTGAGCCATCTCATAAAAGGGTGCAGTAATGGAATAAGTAACCAGACAGCATGTTGCATTGCTGTCAACAGCTATGTGTCTCACCTTCAAAGGCAGAGCTTCGTCACCAATTTGCAAGCTTTAAATTGTGCAGCATCACTTGGACTAAAATTGCGGAAAGCAAACATTTCAGAAAATATCTACAACATGTGTGATATTGGCCTCAAGGATTTCTCCCTTCAAGGTCAGTTTTGTTTTCACATTACAATTTTAATGTCTTGCGAAAGTAACAGAAAATTCAACTGGTGCTAATACATAAAAAATATTTCATGTTTTCATACTGGTTCGATCTGGAAATCCACATTTGACTACAACCAGCTGGCACACAAGGTAATTTTTAAACTGTCCACTTTAAAAATTATTTTCTTATCTGTTTCTTTTAAGTTTTTATTTTGTTTTATTGCATATATTTTCAGAGTTTTATGAAGCTCAATCTATGTCAAATTTTATCGGGTCATAAATTCTAGGTTATTATTAGATAGTGAATTTTTTTCTGTTATTTTTATGTTGTAGAGTGATTTTTGACCCCTCTCAGCTGGTGCTAATGCTGAAAATGCATTCCTGGTTTGAACTCACAATATGAAAATATAGTTCCCAGAAGACAAAAATTTTAACCGGTCATAAACTCTGGAGTAAGATATAGAATGAATTCGATTGTAGTGGAGAATACTTGCACAATTATTGTCCAAGTAATATACCAAAAGCTTGTTGTCATTTTTAATCTTTTGTTGTCAGAATTAAGATACTAAAACTTGACCGTCATCATTTTTCAATTTTTTGTTGTCAGAATTAAGATGCTAAAACTTGACCATCATCATTTTTCAATTTTTTTTTTTTGGTAATAATGAATTTGACAAATAGGAATAAATTGCGAAGTTTCATAATTAGGAGCAAAAGATGCCATTACTGGCATATCTGGTGGTTTTCTTGATCTTCAATAATTAAGTTGAAGCATTGCTTAAATGAAAATTGAATCCAAAGTTTTTGTTTCCTGAAACCGTACACTCTTCAACACCGCTTCACATGGGGTTCAAAAGAAAGGGGAAAAACACAGAAGCTATCGTTTCTTGTGCTTTTGAATTTTACGGCAATGACCTGTATTCTTCATCATTTAATATTCAGGTATGTTAGTGAACAACTTTCCCTTGAACTGTACATGTCAAGAAAGTAGAAATTGAGTTCTGTATTATAATTCATAATTCTTTAAAACATGAGAAAGTTGGGGAAATTTAAACTTCGAATTTGCAAGTTATTATTGTGTCCTTTTATCACCTAACAAATAACAACAACGAGAAGAAAGGCTGTAGCTGCTGCGTCTCTAGATTCTTCAGTATCTCCAATAGTTGTAATATTTCTTTGAAACAATGAATAAAACATTTTCAGGAGGTAATATTTTCTAAGAGATCAGATGAATCCTACTTGTTTCCCATTTTATTCTCGCCTAACTTTCTCTATAGTAATTATGAAGGCCTGATCATGATTTCTTGGGTCTCTCTGTCTCTATACTCAAACAAGTATTGCGTTTTACATTTTTTTTTTACTTATATCTCAAAAGTCAAATAATTGTCCAGTATCCATTATGCGTCCTCATTCAATTGTCTTTTAGTTTCCCATCAGAACAAGTGACTGTTATATGTTAGCTCTAGTTTCTAGAGACAAGAAGTCGTAGAATTTACATGTATTAATTCTTTGATTTTGATGACAGAGGATGGTGCCTCCTTAATTTCTGTGTGTATCCAAACGAGAAACTCACATTGCCATTGAGTCGTTAGATTGTTTCTCCATTTTCTGTTAAATGTAAAGTTTAACTATTTTTGAGGAGATATATGTTAATTAACTATTGCTTATAACCACTTTGGAAGAAGTAGATATTGGAAATTTCTTCTGAAGTGTGTGCAATATCAATATGGCTATCACGAGTACTCCTCACAAAAAAAAAAATTAATTAATTAATTAATTAAGAGGTTGATATCACACTAAACAAAAACCTAGTTTAAATCTTCTTAGAAACATTAATCTTTAATAACTAGTTGATGACTTTGGTTGTTGGATTTGACTTTAATGTTAAATTGTTCTTTGTCTGTTTTGAAAATAGAATCCGGATGCCTTTTGCCTAGCTTACCATCAGATGTAGTATTCGACCAGTCTGCAGGGGTCACCTTCCTTTGTGATTTAAATGATAATATTCCAGCTCCTTGGCCTTCTACGTCTCAGTTGCCTGCTTCGTCGTGCAACAAAAGTACGTGTACTTAAATGCTTCTACTTGATGTTTTAGAATTTGGGTTTTCTAATTCAATTGAACGGACGGTTCTAACGTCTCTGCGAACTTTCTCTAACTGCAGCAGTCAAAATTCCTGCACTTCCTGCAGCAGCATCAGGGCAAAGCCGTAAGTTCACTTGTTTCAATTGATGTTTGAATATCGTATCTCCAAAATGAAATATTTCCATTTATTAAAAAATTATATGAAAATATAGTGCAAATAAAGAACTATAGTTTTCTTTAGTATAAGTCAAGGGTTATACATCAACTTGTTTGATACATACACTTATTAGCGTTGAACCACCTCGTCTAAAAGTGTAAGCTTTTAGAAAGTGGACATATTTATTTAAATTTCATCTCCAAAATAAGCTCTTAGAGCCTATTTGAGACATAATTTGTTAACCTGTCTGCATAAATTGTTGACTTCAAAAATAAAGTCGCGTCTATTTGGTATAAAAGCATTTATAAGCTCTTTATGCTTATTATAGAAATTACAGCATGGCTTACCTCCAAATTGGCAAATGGTCGTTCAGATTCGTGATCAATGACTAGTTAATTCTAAATTAATTGAACTTACATTCAAAATGCATTACTAGCTCCTAGCATGGCTGGCAAAAAGACTTGAGAAGTAATCAACTGTTCAGTATGCACGCCTGATCAGTGCATTTCATGTTTAACTATCTTTTCTTATGGGCAAGAGTTCCCATATTTCAGGCCTCGACATCAAATACAAGGATTCCCTTCTGCTTTTAGTGGCCTCAGCTGCTTTCATTAGTCTCGTGTAAATTTTGGTAAGCCATTAGCAGATCCATTCTACTCTCCTGAAATTGTGGCAAGAAGCTGTACATTGCGTTTGAAGCACTGATTCAGGCAAGAGAGAATGGAAATCTGTGGAATTAAGCTCGAAAAGTTTCTCTTGCATTCTGTGTGACTCGTTTGAATACAAATTACTTCGGTTAAAATCTCACTCAGGCGATTTCTTATTCAAGTTTCTTGTAATTTTTATTCATTATTCTTGCATTCTCGTGTAATTTTCTCTCTAAAAGAAAGTTCAGAAGATGATTGAATTTCAGGTTAAGTATCACTACTTAATTGCCTTGTATAATATTTGTAGTGCTAGATGGCTATGCAATTGTTCCTCCCCCCTTCCCCCCCTCCAACCCAACCCCTTTTTTGGGGCCTGACGTTCAGTTCCAGTGGTATTATGGATATTGCACTTGTAGTATATGTGAATACTTTTCTTCCCGCCAGTGTTTTTTCTATCTAAATTTCTTTACAAATTCAGAAACTCAATAAATAGTAATTTTTCCTGTAGAACATGCTTTCTAGCGGAATTTGAATGGGAGATAAATCAACCTATTCATCATTGGCGGTGATCTTGACCACAGCTAATGATGAATAGCATTGCTCCACTTAATCTCTTTTGATTTGATTTAGTTACCCTACTAACCCATATCAGAAGATTTAAAGGAAGAGATAAATTATATATGAGTAAAACAGTAACTATAATAAGATTGTGAAGAGAGAACCCTATTGCTGAAAGTAAAAAACAATAAGCAAACCAGACAGTCTATTCACTGCATGAAAACTATGTTTGTTACTATCCCAAAATCTCAGAAACAAAAAATAGGGAAAACTCAATTCAATTCAACTCTTTTGTGTGTTGAAACAGTACAAAGGCACTATGGCTGAAAATAGGAACTGAGCTGGCCTACAACACCACCTGTTAAGTCAAAACAAATAAATATTTATATCCTTTTGTTGAAAACTTGAAAATTAAGTTTTTAATAAATAAACGAATATCTTAAAAAGATGTAGCATTTTACGATGTTCACGTCTTGTTGTATTTCATTTTTATGCAAACTAATTTTCTGCATTCAGTTGTCAAATCAAGAAACCCTGCACTTGACCGCGATGCTATATGACACAACGCAAGGCTTCAGGGTATGCAATTTCCATTTTGGTGGAACATTTCTTCCGAACCGTATTTTTTTCCTAACCGTATTTTTTCGCTTTGCTAATATTTCACAGTAATGTGGTGTCACAGACCACAACTTAGCCATAATAGCAGCACGTTCGTGCAATTAGCATAAAACTTTTACAATGGAGTTCAGGGAATCCACTAGACTTCACATAAGTTACGCTACCTTTGTAGATTCACATTTTAGGCCATAGATTGTTTCCATATTGGCACCAATTCAGCTGCAACCTCACAGCTCAGTGAGGTTGCTTCATTTGTATTGACTTGATCAATGCAAGTCCAAACATAACATTATTGGGTTTCATTAAAAACAAGTTCGGCAACTATACAGAAGGCACAGCGAGACGATAAATTAAAATTGCAGTAACATTATGAAAAGAAAAAAGCATCACAGAACAAAATTCTACTTCTCGGGCTGTTCAACAAAATAGTTCTATATTTGACAGACCAAATAAACACATGTATGAACATGTGCCTGCGCCACTTAAATACCAGTACAAGGAAATGGGGGCACAAATGGCAAGAGGAAAGTAAACAAGAACAGATGAAAAAAACATCGACAAAGCTAAACTCACCATTTTTTGTTGGTGGTTGCGGGGGTGGGGGGGTGGGTATGAAGAAAAGTTCAGTTCAACTGAAAACTATATCTGAAATCCTAAACAGCAATCAAGCCAAACAGAAGTTTCAAGGCCTCAATAACCGCCAGTACTACACTATAATAAATTAAGAGCTCCGCATGATATTCACTGCCACCGTCAGAAGCTATGTATTTCCATTTGATGCTGGCCGATCACTGCAAAGCAGATAAGATGGAAAAAATGATAAACATATTGGGCGCACATAAGATATGAATAATAAGAGAACACAACTGAATTTGCATCAAATGGTGATTGCATATGGGAAGGGCCTGGGAGAGTAAAAAAAATTATGAATACCGTTGGCCAAGATTTTCAGGCATTTTTGTAAGCATAAGTTACCTGAGGCGGCTGCTGTTGTGGCGGTGCGTAATTTCCATATCCAGGGTAGCCTGCATAGTATAAATTCGGATCCTGTGCTGGTTGAGCATATCCATACGTTTCATATCCAGGAGCATATCCGTAATATCCACCACCACCACCACCACCATTCCACTGGTTTTGATCAGCCTGAGGCTGAATAATTGCAAAACATTAACATCGTATACCTCTCTGCATCATGGAAAAACATGTCTATAGCCTAAAATCAGTAAACTAGTTATGTTCGGTGATGCCAATAAATGATCTACCTGTTTATTGGAAGGACTGCGGCCCCATGAGAGTCGAATGCTTTGTCCTCCCATCTGGGTTCCGTTTAACATCCTTAGAGCTTCCTCAGCACAACTTCTGTTACAAGTGCACAATACATGAAAAAGCCTATATTCTAGATTTCTCAGCATTTGAGAAGAAATGGCAGATGGAAAGCTAGCTTACCTGTCTGCAAATTGCACAAACCCACATCGCTTACCCATTGGTATTTTCACATGAAGCAATTGTCCATATTGTCCAAAAACCTGCCTTAGATGTTCATCTGTAACATTCGAGTCCAAATTACCAACAAATATCTGCAGATAAAATGATGAATTGGTGTGAGCATGTACTGAAAATAAAAAAGCAAATTACATTATTATGAACGAATAGACTAACAGTTGTGTTTGCCAGATCATCCTCACTCTGAGTTCCTTGAGAAGTCTGGTAGGAAGCTGCAAATATGAGAAGTATGAACACCTTGTTAGGAAATAGGAAGGGTAAGGGGAAAAACACTAAAACTTGCTTTGAGTTTATGCAAACAAAATGCATGAACCATATTACAAGCACTACTAACATGAAATAAACAAAATGGTAGGAAAATTAAAACACAGAGATAACGGAAACAACCAATACCCAGATATAAAATATCAACAGAGAGACTGCCAACAAAGTTAAAACCATTTTTGTAAAGATTGGCAAAATGATAAAAGCTCCATATGGAAAATGTCAAGAACCTTTGCAACTTGATCAGATGAGTGGCAGGCAAAAATTTTAATTAAATAGAGTACAGCTCAAGGAAGTATATTATATTCAATCAAATTAGTGAGAACAAATTAGATAAGAACGAGTCTGCACGGCAGCACGGCATTGTAACTGTGAGAAACGTAGGACTTACTTTTCACATCATGTTAAAGAAACTTCATCTTAACTGGTGATACCACATCACACTATTGAGAAAACCGTATTCAGCAATTGAATTCTGCCGGTGTTTCTTGAATGATTCTCACTTCTCAGTATTGCCATACAAATACAACCAAGAATCAGATGACCCACTTTAACAACCAGAAAAAAAGAGAGGAAGAATCATAGTTTGAAAAAACGTAAACGGGTACTGAAGCGTTTTTTTGTCATGAGGCGAGGCGTAAGCCTCACCACAAACAAAACAGGTGCAATCTGCCGAACAGAACAAGTGCAATCTGGCGTCGATGCACTGAACAAGAAAAAAGCCAAGTAAAGTCTAGTTAAACAATTTTAAATTGTAAGTCACTAAAAGAAGGTAGAAGCAAAGGAGAAAAGAGACATAGAAGCAGCACTTGAGGACCTCTTTTAAGTGAAGGATTGAAGATAAGTTTTCTGGCTGCCGTTTAGTTCTTGGAAGATTTTTGACTGCCCTGTAGTTCTGACCATCTAGAAAGATTTCTGTCTACCGTGTAAAAGGATTTCTGACTGCCTTTTGGTATTCTAAATATTTTAATATTTTGTTTGGCCAAAAATGTCTTTTTAAATGGGCCCTTCCCTTTTTTAAAGAGGGTCTTTTTTAATTCTTTTTCAAAAACCTGAAAAAAACATACTTCAAATAAGGCGCACGCCTCATTTTTTTTGGCCTCACAGATTGAGCCTCGAGGCACAGAAGTTGCGCCTCACAGTGAGGCGGGCCTCAGCAGGGCTTTTTCATACACTGGGAAGAATGGCAAGTAACTATTCTGAAGCAGCTACATAACACTTTTGATAAGATAAAGATACCTACCTGAACATTGAACACCAAACAAAACACAAAAAAAATGCAACACTTCAACTTCCTAAATAAAAGAAAGAATATAATTCCCAGATATGTTATAATAAAACAAAAAATTAATAGTATATTTCGACTTCATAAAGCAAAGACAACAGTTCCAAGAAGATAAATTATATCTACCATTATGCACAAACATAACTTACCAGCCATTATCACCAAAGAAGGAAAATCCTCTCAAGGACAAAAGAGGATGAAGGAGAACTTGGACAAAAGTATTATATATTGGCTACATAAACAACCACAACCTGCATACTGTATGCAGCTTCAACCAACCTTAAATCAATCCCCACTATTCAAGGTCAGTTTTTTTCTAAGAGCAAATAGAGTCGAGTGTTGGAGAATAACAGGAAGGAAATAAAGCTAATTTAGTCAAAATTTTAATGAAACGAAGGGAAGTGGTATACAGAAAGATATGGGTACTTCTTGCAGCTAAATATAACATTAGAAAATAAATATTGAAGACATACGCAAATGCGTAAAAAGCTGAAAGCAGGAAATTGGCGTCTTACTTGTATTGAGGGTACAATGCAGAATGAAAAGAGAAGGAATCATCAAATATTGTTGGTAATTCTAGTATTTACATTTATGAACGTGCTTCAAATAGAGGGCTTCATTTTTAATGTTAGGAAAATTCAAAATCTGAAAATAAGAAAATATTGGAAAATTTTCGATTTTGCTCTTCATATGTTCGTTGTGATAAAAATAAATCTAACAAGAAAAAAAAAGTTTGACTAATAAGTGTAA